AACTGCCATAATGCTTCAAGTCGCACTGCAGGTAGCAAGGTAGAGGAATTCTCCCCAAATGCATGCTTTGCTTACTATGCAACTATACTGCACTCATTTAAATCAATTACCAATTGGGGTCTGTGAACTTTTTCACAGGAAGCATCTCACAGATCATTTACCCTCCCACTTGAAACGTCATGGCATCTGTGGCAACTGCCTGCAATGTCTCTAAACAGCTTTAGAAAACAATTTAGCACCTGCAGATGAGCAGATAGTGGTCTGTGAGGAAACAGATCTGCCGCTGCTCATAGCACCAGCCACTTAGAGAGGTAAACTCTTCCATTTAAATACAGTCCACCTATGTACTAGTAGTTTTAACACGTTAACTTGACTCAATGTATCAAGAGGGATTCAATTACCACCTTCCCAATCTGAACTAATATCTGCTCCTGATTTTTAATGGGTTCTTAAAACCCCTGTTCCACTTGAATGTGTGCAATTTTGTGGCGACATGCCTTGGTATGTATACTTGTGGAGCACTGCCACTTGGATACACTGAATACACACAACGAAATCCATGATCTGCAGACACAGATATTAGTGGAGCAGAAGTGCTCATGCAGAAGCAAAGGATATCTACTGAAAATCAGGCCAACAATATCAGAGACTAGATCACATTTCACCTAGTAATTCTCCTTTCTTATCAGTTTCTGTAACAAGAACCTAAAAAAAAAAAAAAAAAAGAGCAGTGGAGACAGGTACCTGGGGACTCAAAAGGTCATTTCTACTAAGTCTCTTCATAGTGCATTTGTTAGGACAACTGTACTTATAATATTAAAGCAATAGGGCACATTAATATTTTCATATGAACAGTATAATTGAAATGGCAACACATTTTTAAAATGTTCATGATTCAATAACCATGTCCTCTTATCTCAACATAAATACATCTGCATAAACAATGTTATAGTGCTATTATTATTAGCAATATAAAGGGTTTCAGATCCGTACTGGCTAGAGATGTGCAAATAGCTCATTCAGTTTGAGATTACTGTTCAAATGGAAGATGGGACCAAAATCAGAATATAAATCCTATTTCTTCTCCCATTTGTGTATACTAAGCTAACAGAGGTGTAATAAAAGATATCAGATTCACCCAAAGAACCTTGTCTACTAAGCTAATAGGTATTCATGCTTCTTTTAAATTTTATATCCAATTAATCTGTCCTCAGTTATTCCTATTACGGTGTCTGAGAACAGAGAGAACTAGCTTTTACCTGAGTTTGGGAAGACTACATTACACACAAGGAAAAAAGCCATGAATTAACCATGAAATTTTCATACAAAAAGATACTGATACTGTAATCTGCATATAACACATTTTATACAAAATAGTTTAAAAGATATTTAAAAATATTCAGCACATTTATTGGTACTCTCTTTCCATATTTTTCTTCCTATTATACCAAACCCTGACTACCACAAGGCTGATCATATGGGCTCTTAGGAGAGACACTGGGTAATAAATATTTTATCTACTTTTGGTAATATTTAGCAGCATTCCCCATACCTAGTCCAAACTCCTTCCTAGTGCACATCTATCCATGAATTCAAATGGATTTATTTCAAATGGATATGGTAATGAGATTTAATTTTAGTCAATTCATGGCTGGTAAGGTACCCATTAAAAGGTACATTACTTTTCCAATATCCCTTCCGAGTTTCACACACTGTGTACTTAATGGTTGCTTTTACCTTCATTGGAGCTTGGTTTCTCAATTCCCCATAGATCACTTTCTTCAGAGAGAACTGATAGGAATTGTTTCAAATCTCAGGACAGAGTTCCCTCTATCCCAAGATGTTGCCTCAGCAGGGGGATTTACTGTAGCTAGTGTGGCAAAAGGACTGTGTAGAATAAAAAGGCATTTTTTCCTGTGAGCTATGAACTGGGGTGGAAGAAAAGTCTACTGGTATATGGCCCTCCATCAAGTATATTAGTCGCGTGGATGATAGGATTAGAAAGGAACTCCTCTGGCAAGAACTAGACTTTGACAATAGGCGTGTGCAGTTTCTTTTTATTGGTTCACCCCTCCCATTAATGCTCAGTCAAACATACTGGGCGCATCTACACCTGCATTAACGCACTTTAGTTAATGCGCATTAAATCTAGTACCTTCAGGGATTTTTACATGTGCTCTGGGATGCAGCACTGGGTACCTTAATTAGTGGGCCGCACTAATCAAAAGCGCGCACCCATCACGTGTATCAGCGTCCCTGAGCTGAAAAAATGGCGGCGGGGAGCTTTGAACTAAAGCTCATCGAATGTGTTTTAGTTCAAAGTGCCCCAGTGCCATTTTTTCAGCGCATATGACGTGGAAGGCTGCCATAGCACAATTTCCGTGCTCCAGCAGACTCGATTAATCGATTTTTAGTGTTGGAGCAGGCTCCCTGAGCATCTAATAGGAGCCTTCCATTGTGAGATATTAAGAAAGTGAGCATTAGCCTGTCTTAAGGCACATTAACTAAAAAGCACGTTTTAAGTGACACAATGTGCATTAAAATAATGCGCATTAACTGAATAGCACTTTTTTAGTGATGCTTTAATGTGCATTAAAGTGCTTGTGTAGATGCACCCACCAAGTACTATTCTAATCCTTAGTTTGACCACAATTCCTGTGTTAAACAATTATTTATACCCACTTCCAATAGGAGAGGAGTTAACTTCTGGGAAGTACTTAAATGGGCTTATCATTGCCAGCTTGGTTTCTTCCTCAGTCTGTAGGCAAATGAACATAAATGGCATAAAAGGGGGTGGATATTTACCATGCATCAGATACTCAAGGATACTGCCTTTGTGCCCACTCTTACCCAGGGGTAGATGAAAACTAAACTACAGCAGCTTGGATTTCTTTCACTGAAGTATCTTAGTACCTTTCTTTGAGTACTGAGCTACTGCAGTTTAGGTTTCACCTACTGTGGGCCAAGAGAGTACTTACAGTGTTAGTGCCTCCCCTTTCACTTTGGTTTAGGCTGCTTCCATTAAGTCATCTGAAAGCTTGCAATCTACTTGGTATAATTCTTACAAGCACAGCCTTTACCGAGGTATTCAAATCTGAACCCCTATTGAGATTTCTGTTTGATATTCTTCTGATACCCAAGATACGTCTATGGCCCTCAACACAGCATCCAAATACATCCATATTTTTAGTGCATTTATCATCACAGTGCTTCCATGAGGTAGGAAAGTGCTTGACCTCCATTTTACAAACTAATTTACCCAAGGTCACATAGAAAGTCTACAATAAGACAGAGCATTTAACAGACTTCCTGAGTCCCAGGCTTGTGCCCAAGCCAGCAGACCATCCTTCCCCATATAGAAACCACAGAAAAAGTAAT